AAACCGTATATGCATACAACACTCATACTTTGGTTTAATAAAGCTCCCGTCTTCTTCTACGTCGTAGTGATGCATTGTGACATTAGCTTGTCTCATTTGAATAGCTAATGACTTTTTTGTTCATGCAGGTCATTGAATCAGTTTCACATGTGGTCTAAAATGTTGCCCATGACAACTTTGGACGTCATTTAATGCCAGTAAAAAAAGGACTTTTCTCTCTTTCCTTTATGAACACTTGCTTAACTCTCTCTTAACTATACCTTCACAGAATATGAGACCCACTCCACAAAGGAAAGTCAACGAAGCCAGGAGGTTAATGATGGGAGGTATGTCTACTAGAGAAACTGCTGCTAGTGTTGGTATATCAATAGCGACGGCCACCAGGATCTATGCACATAATAAGGAGTACATGCCAGTCAATAAAGGCGGTCGACCAAGGAAAGTACCTAGAGGTATCATGCAGTATCTTAAGGTGAACATGAAACGAGGTACACTCAAGTCTGCAGTTGAGGCCACCGTCAGAGCCAACCAGCTCATACCAGCGGCTGTTTCTGAGACCACCGTTAGACGACGGCTCAAGGAGTTAGGATTGACAGCAAAGAGGCGTGTACATAAGCCAGCTTTACGTCGACGGCATATTAAAGCTCGTTTGCATTTTATCAAAAAGTATAAGGAATGGACTCTGGAAGATTGGAAAAAGGTTATTTGGTCAGATGAATCGAAAATAAACCGAATCTGCTCTGATGGCGTGCAGTGGATCTGGGACGACAATCCGGGACGCCTCACTCGCAGGTCGGTGCAAGGCACTGTCAAGTTTGGGGGTGGTAATGTTAAAGTGTGGTCATGCTTCTCATGGTACTGACCTGGATACATTGCAAAGATTGACAATAATATGGACGCACAACTTTACATCAAACTACTCCAGGAGGATCTACAGATGTCGCTTGATGACTAGGGCCTAACTAAAAGCGATATCGTCTTTCAGCACGACAATGACTCGAAGCACACGGCGAAGATTGTTAGGAAGTATTTGGAGTCAGTACATCTGACAGAAGAGGAAGGTACACTTCTAGAGTGGCCAGCACAATCCCCTGACCTCAACCCTATTGAACACATGTGGGCAGAATTGGATAGGCGGCTCTCTAGGTATCCCGAGCGAGCTAAGAGCTGTGATAAACTATGGGAGCGAATATCGGTTGAATGGTACAGGATCCCAGTGGACTTCTGCCGCAAACTCATCATAGGTATCCATAAGAGACTCCAAGCTGTCAGTGATGCCCATGGTTGGAATACTACTTATTGATGTAAGGTTATGGCTCACAAAAGAATAAAGATCTTTGGCCACCGAATGGGCACATGTGAAACTGATTCAATGACCTGAATGAACAAAAAAGTCATTAGCTATTCAAATGAGACAAGCTAATGTCACAACGCATCACTATGACGTAGAAGAAGACGGGAGCTTTATTAAACCAAAGTATGAGTGTTGTATGCATATACGGTTTCGAGGAATGAAAAAAAGAAATGCACATGGGAATGAATTATTGAATCAGTTTTGCATGATAGTGTATAAGCTTAAGCTCAGTATGCGCCAACCACTACTGTGTCAAAAAAAAAAAAAAAAAAAAAGTTCCCTACAATTGTCAAACACCAAAATTACTTACTCTCCTTTATTTGGGCATGAGCTGCGTACATGGCCCGGACGACTGCATCCACTACATAGACGTGAAGTGGAGGAAGAAACGGTGCCATTGGAAGTACTCGTTTTACCTCTATTAGGTAAGAAAATTTATTAATTTCATATACTTAAAAAAAAAAAAAATACAAATAATAAAAAACCAATCACGAACCTTGCGTTCTGAGGACATAACCTCCTGTCATGTTTGTCACTGCTGCACAGGCTACAGGCCATGAGTCCGTTGCATTGAGATGTTGGTGTAGTACTGAGAGAGATCTTTAACTAATAAGATAAAAAAAAATATGGTAGTGGCAAAAGGAGTTGATAGTAGAGGGCGTGAGTTATACAGTGGCTTCCAAATTTGTCCAAATGTTCCACGCTCATGTTTTCCGTCTTGATTAGAATAATAGCGATGGTTGCTTGCACTTTTATTTTTATCAGAGTAAACAAGTATGCCAATGATACGTGGACTGGTTCAGTTTAAAATATCTCTAGTCTCATTCACCATGGTTTTTCATTGACAAAAGTATTTAATCTCATTTGGACAATTATATAACCATCACTTATTTTACGCACCTTTGCTGAATTTTTTTCAAATTATCTCCCACACACTTGAGTAGATACTCTTCACCTACACTCTTCTAGGAGCCTACGTTACTCTTTCTAAACACTCCAAAGATGAAGCCAATCAAAGCTTCCGTTGTTGAGGATGCTCTCCATTTACTCGAGCAGCACAAGTCCATCCGTCAGGTTGCCACAGAAGTAGGCATATCCAAGTCCTCAGTCCATAATATCTCCAAGACATTAGGGCCTGCCAGGAGTAAAAGTAGAGCTGGTCGGCCACGGAAGTTCGATTACCGGAATGCATATTATATTCGATTGTTGCTTCACCGTAGCCTCATCAGCTGTCCATGCTACCAGACTCTATAACGATGAGAACGAAGATCCGGTGTCAGCTAATACGGTGCGTCGGGCGCTGAGAGATATTAGCATGGAAGCTAAAAAAGCCGTCAAGAAGCCTAGGCTAACAAAACGTCAAAACAAAGCTCGACTGGACTTTGCTCTCCAGCACAAAGACTGGACCGAAGCTGATTGGAAGCGAGTAATTTGGTCCGATGAGTCCAAAATTTGTAGGATATCTCCTGATGGCATGCGCTATGTTTGGGTGGAAACAAATAAAGAACCAAAGGTGAAGGCGGCCGATATTGACCCAAAGTTAGTTTCGCCCACAGTCAAACATGGTGGTGGTTCGATCATGGTTTGGGGCTGCATGACGTGGGATGGGCCAGGCTACTTGGCCAAGATCGACTCCATGCTGGACTCCGAGCTGTATATTCGTATCCTCCAGGACGAGTTATTGAATACTGTGGATTGGTACAACATTGATCCAGAGCAATTTATCTTCCAACAAGACAATGATTCTAAGCATACGGTTAAGAGAGTCACAACCTACCTTGCCTCTATTGGATTGACAAGAGCGTCAGGTAGAATACTGGCATGGCCTGTCAATTCACCAGACCTAAACCCTATTGAGTATTTGTGGGATCATTTAAAAAAAAAATTCGCGAACATGGGACCATTCCAGAAGGCATGCTGGAACTCTGGGAAAGAGTGAGCCAGATATGGGAGGAGGAGACACCGAAGGAGGTCTGCCGCAATCTGATAAGAAGTATGCCTGAGCGGATGTTAGCAGTCATAAGGGCGAAAGGGGGCAATACGAAGTTTTGATAGGTGAAAAAAAACGATGGTTAAAAAATTGTCCAAATGAGAGAAAAATTTCAAAGTAGTGAAAAGCTATCAGAAACAAGCAGGAGCGCTAATAGGTTTAGAGCAAATAAAGTATGTATTCCAGGTTGCTCCCATCTATGGTGCGTGCCAAAACTGATGCAATAATTTGCATTTTTTAATATTCATTCCTCATTCTCCTTTTCCTTTCTAATGATCTTCCCTACCATCACCGCTTCTCATTCTCATTTGTCTCACCTTCGTGGACTGTCATCGCTGTTCTCATCAATGACGCAATTAGCGAATAATCGCCATTTGTATAGTCATGTCTCATTGCATCAGTTTTGGTAAAAAGTACATCTCAGGTTTGTCCATCCCTTACTTCTTTCTTATTCTTTATTCTTTCTTTATAGCACCATCACCACTGATACACCAAGCGACACTCTACATATCTGCCATATCTTTATCATAACATGAAATCATTATCCAAATCAACTATCCAAAATGCAACTGCTCTACTTCATCAGGGAAAGTCTTCCAGAGAAGTGTCAAAGAGTTTAGGGATATCTGTTACCTCAGCTCAAAGGATTAGGAAAAGAGGCAAAGAAAGTATTCCAGTGCTGAGAGGGGGCCGACCCTGCAAAGTTACTAAGAAAACGAAACAGCTTTTATCAAGATTTTTTGACATGGGTGTATTGGAGACCCTAAAAGATGGCCAACAACTTGTTCAATTGAGGGAAGGAGTGCAGGTTAGTAAATCGAGCATCAGGAGGTTCCTTATGCAGGATGATATGGGGGCATATGTAAAACAGAAGCAGCCTGGTCTGACGAAGAAGCAAATCTATGCTCGATATAATTTTGCAAAGGATCACTTGGACTGGACTCTAGAAGACTGGAAGAACGTCATGTTCTCAGATGAGACCATCTTTAGCAGAGTTGGGTCCTGCGGAAGAAAGTACTACTACAAGCATCGATGGGATAAAGCTCTACGAGCACATCATATCAAAAAGACAAGGCAAGGCGGTGGAGGCAAAATGATGTTCTGGGGTTGTATAACTTACTACGGACCAGGCGATGGCTGCTGGCTCCAAGAGAAGGTGGATTCGGTAACATACGTCGACGTTCTCAAGGATTATATCTTTAAGTCCAGGGATTACTACTTGATGGATAAGGACAAATTTATATTTCAGCAGGACAATGCTAGGATTCATACCGGAAGAATAGCAATGACCTATATCCAAAAGTCTAAGATACCTCTCATGGAATGGCCAGCAAACTCTCCTGACATCAACCCAATAGAAAACATATGGGCATACATGAAGGTGCAGTTGGATCATTATCCAGACAAGGCAAAGAATATGGAGGATCTCTGGGAGAGAGTCCAAGACGTATGGACACATATCCCTCCTGAATTCTTACACAAACTATACTGCGGTATGCCGAAGAGGATGAGGGAGTTATATAAGGCTAAAGGAGGGAACATCGTTAGGGGAAAGGAGAAGTAACAGGAATAAATAAAAACAAGAAGTTGTTAATTGCCATAATAGATGCAATGAGATGCTGAAAGCAAATTGCAATTAAATGCTAATTAGGCCACTGATGGCGATGACGATGAGACTCCATGGAGGTGAGACAAATGAGAATGAGAAACGGTGGTGGCAGGGAAGATCATAAAGAGGAAGAAGGAGAATGAGGAATGAATGTTGAAAAATGCAATTTATTGCATCAGTTTTGGCACGCACTATACATTATTCGTTACGTGAGCTATGTAGCTTTATTTTCTTACGAGTATGCGAACGAAGTTAAATGTCTCTCTCCATCCATCGGGTTATCGTTGGGTGAAATTGAAGAACTGAAAGGTTCGAGCAAACAGCTATTGTATAACGATTTGCAGCTAGGTATTGCTTTAAGCTACGCAAGACAATGGGTACCCTTGGTGGATGAGAAAAGGATTCTGTCATTCTTTCCTGGCCTGCAACATGCTGTATTTGAGCTCGGCTATTCGCACTTGCTAGCTCCATTCACTCCGATTGTTATAACTCCTCCATTACCTACACGATAATCTGTACACTTTAAGGCGTTAACCTGACACACTTTGAGAAGCAAAAGCACGATGACCATTACCATTACCGTATTAACCGTCATTACCTTCGGGCCATGGCATCAGCTCAAGTAGCGCCTCCAATTCTCCCATCTCGCGATCCAGGGCTGAATTGTGTTTTGCAAATTTTGAAAAGCCAAAGTCTATAAAAATGAATCGCGAATCCTGCCCATCAAGTCTTGCTGTAATGTTATCTGGTCGAATATCACCGTGCAGGACACCCAAATCGTGGATCGCTGAGAGTGCTCCGCGGATCTTGTCTCGATCAGATGCATCCAAATGCTTATTGCAGAGGTCGCTCCCAGTGAACTCTGTTACTAAAACCATCTCCATTCCGTCCATGATCCCAGCTAGCTTCAGTTCGGGAACGAAGTGACCTTGTAGCATCTGAAGCTCCTTGTAAATCGTGGCCTCGTGCTCCAGCTCATCGACAATTGGGGACTGCTTCCAGATGTCGGCTTTTTTCACCACTACATCCTTGCCCATCCATGTAGCTCGGAACGTACGCGCACCCTCGCCAAATGTAATAAGTCTCATATCCTTGAAAGCTGGAACAGTGCGTCTCTCCAATTGCATAGATCCTGTTGCCTGCTTCTTGGTCCTAGATTGCAGTCAAAAACTGGATGATCAGCCACCTTTGGTGAGAGAATCTCGATCAAAACACATTTGAGTATTAGCCTCTTACTTGCTTCGCGTCAAATAGGCTCTGAATCCTTGCTTCGATTTTCCACCACCACCACGTCCTGGATCAAAGTCACTGTCACGTTTTGTAGCCTTGTCCTCAGGTTGCTCCCTCGAGAGCATGTCTTCAACTGAGGCCTTATCGGGTATGGCTGGCTGCCATTCAGTATCACCATCCACCGTCCGAATCAGCCACAGGTAACACTGCAGTAGAGTCGGGTTTGTCCTGTCAAAGTGGATTGTGGACGAGATTAGGATGCCGTCGCCATGTGCCGAGACTCGTTTGATAAACCATGTTTGAGTATAGGTTGACAGAACTCCATAGCGAAATCCATTAAGTCTCATGTAGCCGAAAATCTGCTTTAGCGGACCGACTGGGCCCTGTGACGATGATCCTTGTGCTAGGTAGGCAGCGGAGTAGCTGGTGCCGTCATTCAGATGCAGCATAACAGGTCTTTTCATTTCAATTGGAAACAGTGCCAACTGGTTATCCTCGCGCGAGCAAATCAGGTCTGGAAGGCCGTACGTCAAGCTATAAGTGCCGCGCGTGTCTGTAAATGGCGGCAGGCCTCGGACCGATCCAACGTCATAGCGAAAGATCCCTTGTAAATCCGACTTGGTTGTGAAGGTCCTGACTGCCGAAAACCTAGGAGGTGTGTACTGAGGCTCGGTTGCCAGAGGCATACGGCGTACCAAAGGTAAAAAGTCATTCCAATCTCGCACAGACGCGGGAGTTATCGAGTAACCACGACGTGTGCTGGTCTTGGATCGACGTGTTTGATCTCTGCCAGTGATATTGCTTAGAACATGCTGCACGAATTCGGCCTCTGATACACGGTCTGTGAAGCAAGATGCCGGGATAGAAAAATATTGGTTAGCAGTCATCATACTAGAGATAAACCAGCAATCAATCAGCATGACGCGTTTCATTACTTGTGACAAGAAACGGAATGGAGGGAAAATAAGTTAGTGGAGAAAATAAGCTCAAAATGGAAGCAGCAATCAAAAAGACGCAATTGCAGACTATGATGTCATACACAAAAGTTTGAGAACAAATAGCCAATCCCTTACCTTCCAACGGCCGCTGAATAATGACGTTGATAGTCTCCTCAGGCAGAGGCGATGTGCCAAATATCTTTGAGATCTTGCTTGTTGCTCTGGTGAGTAGCTCCTTTGATTCAATATTGGCGAGATTGATTGTAGCGCCCTCATCAGGAACAGAAACGTGGAAGAGAATCAATTTGTCAGCTTCAATGTCGTTGAATTCAGATTCTTTTTTCTTCTTGATTGCTTTTTTGAGGTCGTCGATAGTGTCTTCTACTGAGACCTCAACAGGGAATGCCGTGGATTGTCCGTCAAGGATGCAAAATAGTTTTGTCATGATCGAATGATGATGAAATGCGAGAGGGAATCGGGAGAGGTAAATAGCAAATGAAAGTAGAGAAATGAAGGAAGGAAGAGAAAGGAATGAAAGTAGAAAAATGAAGGAAGGTAGAGAAAGGAATGAAAGTAGAGAAAGGAATGAAATAGAGAATGAAAAGGAATGAAGGTTGAGAAAGGAATGAAAGCACAAGGAATGAAAGTGCGACGTTTAAATTTGTTTTTATGTCAAACGGTGACTGCGATCTTTATTTATTACGAGCCGGAGACCGTGGCTTCGCCACGGTCTGCTCGCCTCGTGAATAATTTAATGTCTCATTTCGTGAAAACAACACAAAAGGTTATCTTTATCGTACACAATATAAATTAATAAAATACAAAATAAAATACAAAAATAAATGCTACAGCCAAGAGAGAAGTATCTTGCAGAATATTCATCAGGTGAAATAACGGCGGAGATGAGTTAAAAGCCGACATTAATGACCTGGAGATGACAGAATACCTGAAGATCTAAAAATATTATGCCTATAAAGCATCCTTGAAGACGATGTTTCGGGTGTATATCCCAGGCTTGCCTTCTATCTTCCCGTTCCCAATCAGTACCTTAAGATTGTTTGGGTCAGTACACCGTGATAAAGCAACGTAGAGATGACCATGACAGAAGACATCTTGAGGAAGATAAACACCAACATGTTTAAGTGTCTGCCCTTGAGACTTGTTGATAGTCATAGCGAAGGCTGGCTTGATTGGGAATTGGCGTCTGCAGAACATGATTGGGGAAGAGCGCTCATCAATCGTCTTAAGCGGTATGCGGGGAATGAAGACGCGCTCTCCTTGATATTGCCCTTTGATGACCTCAGTTTGGATCATTCTTGTGCCTAACGCACGCACAATCATGCCGGTACCATTACATAGTCCGCGCTTTGGGTTCAAGTTGCGAAGAAGAATGACAGGTTGACCGACTTTTAACTCTAGTTTGAACGGAGGCAAGCCTGGTGGACTAAGCTTGTTCAGATATTCCACAGGATAATGGGCCGTGGCTGCTGCCTCAGGGTCTTGAAGGCTATCTTGGCCCATATAACTGACCGACTGCTGAGCGCTACAGAGCATACTGGTGGCTAATCACTCGTCTACCCCCTCAAACACTATGACCTCATTCTTGGCAAACCTTGGCTTACCGCAGTTAACCCCTCTATCGATTGGCGCACCAATGATCTCCACTTCACACACAATGGTAATACCGTGCGCTGGTCATGCAGGGGATTCCAAACAAATTCCATTACAGCTAAGTCTCGCGGCCTACTTATGAGCCACATGCATTTCCAAACTGTCGCGGCACAGCCAGACAGCGAGGTTTACCTCGCCACAGTGAAACTCCCTCAGCTCTCAACAAATGCCACTTCCGACATACACCCTGACATTGCATCAATTATACAGGTTGAGTTCCCTGATGTCTTTCCTGACTCACTCCCTGCAGGTCTTCCACCAGGCCGAGGCGATTCTATGAAGATTGAAACAGACCCTAATGCAGATCCACCCTTTCGCCCTGTGATTCGCCTCCCTATCGCTGAGCTCGACGAGTTGCGCAAACAGCTGGATGAGCTCTTAGCTAAGGGATTTATTAAGCCCAGCACATCACCTTATGGAGCTCCCGTTCTTTTCGTCAAAAAGAAAGATGGAACCCTTCGCATGTGCGTGGATTACCGTGGTTTGAATAGAATCACACGCAAGAATCGCCACCCACTTCCGCGCATCGATGAGCTCATCGACCGCTTTCGAAATGTGAAATATTTCTCAAAACTCGATCTAATGTCAGGATACCACCAACAGCGGATCTTTGACGCACACACTCATAAGACAGCATTTCGTTGCAGATATGGCCACTATGAATTTAATGTTGTTCCATTTGGTCTAACCAATGCTCCTGCTTCGTTCTCCACCATGATGTCACAAGCGCTGGGCCCAGTATTAGATAAATGTGTAGTACTCTACCTGGATGATATTCTAATTTACTCCAAGAACAAGACCGAGCATCTGGCCCATATTCGCAGTGTACTCTCGCTCCTCCGGAAGAATCGTCTCTATGCCAAACTTAGCAAGTGCTCCTTTATGCAAGAAGAAACTGAATTCCTAGGGCATGTTGTTTGTAAAGACGGCATCAAGACAAGCGCTGGTCATGTCAAGGCTATCAAGGAGTGGCCTCGTCCCACCAAGCAGAGAGATGTACAACAGTTTATTGGCCTTGTTCAGTTCTATCAGCAGTACATTCGTGACTTCGCCACTATTGCCTTACCCTCGACTGCTCTCTTAGGTGACAGTGCCACTTTCTCTTGGGATGAAGAAAAAGAGCGCGCATTTGCTACCTTGAAAAATGCCATAACCAAGGCCCCTGTGCTCAGAATATTTGACCCTGACCTAACCACCACAGTAGAGACGGATGCCTCGGGGTTCGCTATAGGTGCTGTATTATTCCAAACAGATGAGCATGGAGAGTCCCACCCAGTAGCGTTTACATCCAAGAAACTTAGTTCAGCCGAGAAGAATTACCCAACACATGAGCAAGAATTATTAGCAGTCGTTCATGCACTTAGGACCTGGCGTTATTACCTCGATGGCACTCACTTCGTGGTATACACCGACCACGCTACCTTGCGTCACTTTCCAACACAACCCAAATTAACACGGCGGCAAGCGCGTTGGATGGAGCTACTCCAGGAATATGATTTTGATTTCAAGTACAAGCGTGGATCTGATAACATTGTTCCAGATGCACTTTCGAGACGACCAGATCAGCAAGATCCGCCATCCATTTCTGTCAACTCATTCGCGATCGAACTACAGTGGTCATCAAAAGTCATTCAATGAATTAGGAATTTCGACATTCTCATTCCTTTCTCCAATTTGATCTTGCTTGTCGCTAATGAAACTTACGTAGCGAGTTTGACCATCGACAACGTCACTCCTACTACAATGTCAATGAGCTCCTGTTGCTAATTGAAAATTTAGATGAATGCCAATTATTGGCAATCTCATTGAATGACATTTGAAGAAAAACAGCAGCTTTGCTTTATTTGTTTTTTTTTTCTGTTCTTCAGTAATGTGTACGACCTCCTTTCTTGCGATGTAGCTCCTCTACCCTTCGTGGCATCTCTAATATACTATAGCCGCTACCTTTTTTGATATATCACGTGTAGAAATTTTTTTTCAGACAATTTGGGATTAAGATCGGATTTTATTTCCTCCTCCTCCCCTTTCATTCCCTCATTCATTACCCTTTCCCTTATTCCCTTACTTCAACAATGGTTTGCAACCAATGCGTTAAAGAATAATGCGCGTCGTGGAGAATTAGTTGAAGTTACGCATGAACGATCAAATAGTAATGAGTGTCTTTTCAACAGATGTAAGACATGTAATCGTCCAAGAATACATGGACATATGGAAAATTGTCCTGAGAATATTATCCCGTCATTGATAAGTGAGTATAAGTGATAATTGGAAAATGCAGAACATATATGACAATATGACAAGACAACACGACAGAGCAACAGAGGAATGGATAAGTATATGTAGGATGTAGGATACAAGTGTA